AGGCCCGCCTAGCCTCACCACCAATTGTGGTGGAGATGAAGAGTTTGGTGGACCACCCTTTGAAACCTTGACCTATATTAATGTTATGTGGAATCTTCTTCTCGGGATGTTACATGCCAAATGTTCATTATGATGCATGCGTGTTCATCTTGGCTAGCTAGGGCTTTGATTTCATGCCCTTCATGCCACGTGGTTTGCCGACAGAAGGCTGTCGAAAAAAACCTCGCTTGTTGCAACTTGCGTACATACGAAAACTAGAAGTAAATTACCTCGTATCTATCTATCTATATGCGTAATTTGTTGGGAAATTTATAGAAAGTTAGGTCATCATGTACAGCAATTGGTGTACTATGATCATATGTAAGAGCAGAATCAGATAAGGTGTGATTTGATTTAATTTTAAGAGGGGGAAAGTTTGGGACGAATATATGGCTTCAACCCTCCGGCCCCTACCTGCAGAGGCAGCGGTAGCAGCAGCAGCAATCGTATCTTTTTGCCTTTTTGGTGTTTTGTCTTCTTTTGGGCAATTGCTTTCAACGCTTTTTATCTAGGGCTGCCCAATAAACAAGGCAGGAATAATATAGCTCTAGCCTCTTGCTACTTGATTTGATCCATCAAAATGCAGCATGCACACACACCAAGCATGTCGATGGATATGCCTTGTGGTTGTGGAAGAGACGAGAATCCTTCTCTACTGTGTTTAACTTGTGTTTCATTTCTTCTAATTTGCACTTACTCCGAACTTTAGCTCTAGTTTAGCAAGGGGGGGAATAATATAACTAATCCGTCTTGGAATTAATCATTGAAGATCGTATTATATGCAAAACTCACATTAATGTAACTTTTATGAAGTATTTCAAGACTTTTTAGGATTAAGCTTAGGTCAAGGTTTAGCCTAAGGCTAATTAATTGAATTCATTAGGAAATAAAATATCCTAAACAAAAAAACAAACCACATCAATATCCTAAAAGAAAGATTATTATTGCAACCTTTTTTTTAAACATACTTTAAAAATCTTCCAATTGTTTGAAGTCTTATATAAGGGCAACTCTTAAAAGTAAAAACAGTAATAATCTTTCTATGACTAAAAGAAAAAAAAAACACTTTAGTATATTATATAAGGGCAACCATTTCGTTTTCAGTTTTCAGTTTTCGTTTGCACTTCTTTTGAAAACTGAAAAAATTGAAAACTTGTTTAATAAGGGCCCACTTGATAACCATTTCAGTTTCTAGTTTTTATTTTACATTTTAAGAAATTGAAAATAGAAGACTTGTTTGGTAACAATAATTTTAGTTTTCAAAAAAACTGAAATCTTTTTAAAAAGTTGTTTGGTAACTTATCTCAGTTTTATGTGGAACTCGGAAGTGGGTTTTTTCAAGACCAATTGTGAATTTGTGATCATAGAATGAAAGTTCATGTTACAAAGTTTGAAGTATATTTCGGTGAATTCTTTGGAGTTATGATGATATTTTTTTTTTGGTTGTAAAATTTAGATATGGAGGCCCGAAGGATTAGACTGAGTATGCAATTGAACGTAATAGAATTTGTTTTATGTTTTCAAAATGACCTTTATTTTTTTTCAGTTTTCGTTTCATTTTTTTTTACCCTCCTTTTTGTCATTAACCTATCTTACATCACCACATATACATTGCACTTTAGTCTCAAAACTCGACATTTGGGATCTCCCGACTCTTATGTTCGGCCGCAGACCCAGTCTGAGCATTGGGACCTCAAGATCTAAAATTCGCTAGAAAAATCATCATAAATTCGAAGAAAAAATGCAACGGACTCTTTGAAACATACACTTTCAGTCTATGACCTTAAATTCAAAATTTGACACTAAGAAAATTTTCATTTTCATTTGCTCATCAATAATTTGTTTTATAATAATTGTTTCATTTCCAACTTCAGACGATGTAGTGGTACTCTTTTTCCTTGACCGGATTTTCCCCATTTGGGGGTTTTTAAAGGCAAGGTTTTAATGAGGCCACATTTGTTACATTACTAAGGTCCAGTTTTCCTTTGTACTATGACATTGTTGATTCAATGAAGTTATCTTACTTTGATCCAAAAAAAAAGTTCCACAGAAAATTTAAAATAGTTACCAAATGACTTTTAAATAATTTTTTATACAAAATAATTATTGAAAACTGAAATGGTTAATTAACGGGCTTTATAATGATCATTTTTGCAACTTTGACTGATATTTTTCGTTGTTGGAGGAAATGGGCATCTTTTTGCAATGTTTGCATTATAAGACCACACGGCTCTAAAAGAATAGATAGTGTCATTTTAAATTACATGAGCATTCTTTTTTTTTTTATCCTCTGTGTATACATATATATAGACAAATAATATATAGTAGAAAAGCACTAGTCCACTTACATATGTTGTTCAATGCTATGTTATATGGGTGGGTGGGTAAAGGACCCGAGATCGCGTGTGAAGGCGTTATAGTCCTCCCATATTTGTACTGTGCATTAGTACTGTATTTCTGTAGGTTTGGATAATGCTTGATTTGCCCCCCAAGTCCTCCCAAGAGGTAACAATGTTTATATATAACATATGAGCGAAGGAATTAATATAACCATCTTCTTCATCATCTGAATATTCAGCTGAAAATTACTATCTATGAAGCTCTTCGGGTTTTCGGTGACGGACCACCGTGACATAGTTCCCATGGTGAAGTTTGAGTGCCACTACTGTGGCCGGAAGTTCGAAAACTCTCAAGCATTGGGTGGACATCAAAACGCACACAAAAGAGAAAGGCAGCTTGAAAGGATGGCCTTGTTAGAACATGTCAAGCAACAGCACAACCCTCCTCCTCCCCCTCCTCCTCCTCCTCCTCCTCATCATCATCATGATCATGAGGGTGTTCCGAAAGTGGATGAAGAAAACGACGTCGTCGATCTGCGTTTGAGACTTTGAGTCATGCACTCTCCAACCCTTGACTGAGTTCTAATATTCCCAGTCCAGGTTTATTTGAAAACATATATAAAATATGACAAAGCCTTGGTAAGCTTTCTTTCCATTAGGTGTGTTGAAATTAGGGCTTCTTAAATATAGGTCAATTTTCATGAAGATGTAATGGATGCAGTTAATATTTTCTCTTTTTTTAATTATAGTCCAGTAATCATGTGTCTCGTCAAGTAAGCAATTAGTATGTCTACAAATTTTAATGAATTTACAATATATGTCACTATCGAAAATGAAAGTCTTTGAAAACGCCTCCTTTAAATTAAGGCGTCTCTTACAATCATATTAGCGTGAAACAAATCTTTGACAATTTCACGCTTAATAAATTCAACATTTTTGTTTTCCTTATATTATATATATATACAACACATTGTAGCTAATAGCATCAAGTTCACACCCTCTACTTGGGATAGAAAGAAACAGCTCTCTTGCTTTATTAAGCCTACCCGCTAAACAGAAGCCAACCATCAAAGTGTTCTAAGTAAATACATCAGGATCTATGCCCCTTTGGATCATAACTTTAGCTTTTTCCAGATTTTAGCGTTCGTTGCGGGTAGAAAAACAAGGTGGTATAGTAGTTTGTCCTTATCTGATGAGTTAATCTTTGTATATATATAGAGTTACCTACTTTGCAGGTAATAGTTTTTTTCTTGGTTTCCAAAGATCTTTTAATGGAGCTTTATCTCAATATACTTTTGTGTGACTCTACCTCTTGTGGAGGTGTGAGTGTGTTTTCGTTTTTCTATACTTGTATAGGAGGTCTAAGAATTGAGTTCTTTTCTTATAGTGCTTGTTCCATTGTCGAATTGCGTATTTTTTTCGTTTTTCTATACCTGTATTGGAGGTGGCTTTTGAGTTTAATTACCTCGACTAGGGTAACTTATAGATTTAATTACCTAAACTAAAGGTGATTTGTGGATTTAATTACTTAGTGTATGTATAGGCAACTATTGTTAAGGAATGAAGTTTCCAATACCAAATTTAATCAACAATAATGCTATTATTTTCTTATGGCAAACTACGTAGCACGTGGACTACTTTGACAAATCAATAGTTTTCTAAGACCAAGTCAACCCTAAATTATTGGGAGATCCACGTGTACCGAACTGGAAGGTGCTACTTCCAATCCCAGGAAAAGTGACCCTCTCCCCAAATCGCTGAATTTCAAAAAGAAAAAAAGAACAAAAAAAGAAAAAAGAAAAAAAGAGTAAAGACCGTCCAACACTTCATGGTGCATCTTCCAGAAGAAAACGATAGATTATTGTACGTACAGTTTTTGGCCCTCCATAAAAATTCGCTTTCATTTCGAGCCTCAAATATATATAGAATCTAAACAACAATTTGACAAAGTCACACCATTACTTAAATATGTAACCCAAGTATCAGTTCCGGAAAAGAAAAAGAAAAAGAAAACTTGTTATGAACCTAATTTTCATATTTTCTCTATAAACATTTCAACGATTATTAAATTTAACATAGATGCTCATTAATTTGACAAAGAAACCCCGTTTTAATTATTTTAAGCGGTTTTGCTTTTGTATAGATAATGGAACACAGATCCTCGTCAAATCCTTACAAATTAAGACAATGGTTATTTTTCAGCCCTTCCTATTTAATCAAACCTCATTTGTCAAATGAGGGCACCGCAAGTCTCTCTATAAAATCCCTTGCTCTCCCATAATAGTTTCCGTCTCTCTCTCTCTCTTTGCTCGTCAACCTTTGATCGGCAAGGAGAGAAAGATGAGAGAGATGGACGAGATGCAGTCAACTTATGTGTCACCCTACGGGTCCGGTGGTGACCGGAGCTTTGATAATGAGGGTTATGCGTGGGAGAGTAAGAAAAATTCATCACGTAAATCTTCGTCAATCTGCAGTTTCAACCAATCAGAGCTTAAGAGACAACGCCGAGTGGCCAAATACAAGTCCTATGTCGTTGAAGCTAAATTTAAATCTGCTTTAAAGAATGGTGTACGTTGGTTCAAGAACAAGTATTCTGCGCTTGTATATGCGTAGATTGAGAGAATGTAAAGGAATCTATCTCAGATCTGCCAAAACATTTTGCATGTAAATTCTAGCTAGCTAGATTTGCATGCATTTGGATATTTTCCAGCCAACTCTATTTGTTCAACTTTTGTTGTGGATTATTAACATGAGAATCATTCAAAAGGCTTTCTGGGATCAATGTGATAAATGTCAATCAAGGTAGTATTATTATGGCCAATTCTTCTTCTTCTTCTTTGATAATTTGTCGAATATCTGAAATGTTTAAGCTAGAAATTGGCTCATGAATTCCTTCTTATGATATATGGGATTTGTATAGCATATTAATTTGTTTTGTTTGACGAGAGAACATTTTCGTATAATTTATTAAAGATCATCTATATATAAAATTGTGGAAAGCCAGTTTTTCTAATTTATTTCCATTGTGATTGTGATTCTCAGCTTCATCGTTAACAGGGAGGAGAAAAGATGAATCTTTATAATTCTTTGTGTTCTTTTAATTGATGCGACGATCGTGCATGCAAAACTGATGAAATTTCACCCCATATGAATGAGAAATTTTTAAATGTTCCAGGTACACCACGTGTCTGGTGTACCATCCAATAAACATAGAACATGTGGAATTGTTATCCAACTTACTGCATTTCTTCTTATGACATGTGGCGGACTGCATTGGACATATTCCATATGTCTTCCGTCTATTGGATGGTACACCAACCACGTGGTGTACCGGGAACACTCAAAAATTACTCCATATGAATATATATTTACCAAACAGGAAAAATAAGGGGTTCTCTCGACTGCAAGCCATAAAGAAATCGGTTACCCAAAAATAAACAAAGAAGAATGTTTTACGTTTGAACTCTTATGAATATGTCATAGAACCAAAAACGTTTTGGCTTGTAGAATAAAACGTTGTTGAGTTTTCTAATAATATTATTGTTTTCTTTTATTTATTTAAATTTAATAATGAAGAGCTAAGAGTATGAAATTTCATTTACATAGGAAGTCCATACCTACGAGTTAGATATTATATTCCCACAAGTATACTTATAAACAAGAGAATGCAATTCCATATCAATTCCCAAGCTCCTAAATCTTGAACAACACGAGTTATCATCAAGACTTAGAAGACCTATTAATTAGGGGCGGGCATCTCATCCGAAAAATGCGCATACCAATCGTACCAAACCTACAATTTAATTTGGTTAAATCATTATTTTTTATTATTAATTCTTATGATCCAATCCACACCAAAATATTTAGTTAAAAGACCAAGTAACAATATCCCTAATCCGACGAAAATTTGTATCGAATCGATATGAAGGTTATTCTAGGTTGCGAAACACTATAACATATCACACATTAACCCTGAATTAACTATGCCTCTTTTAGTTTTTCATTGAGCCACACCCTCAAACCTCAAGCACCCCATCTCTAACCCCGAAGCATTCAATCGATCTCATCTCTTTGTCAGCTCAAATCAGCCGCACCACCACCATCTTGACTTTGTTTTTCTTTTACTGCAATACACGAATCAGATTTGGATTGAAGATTATTAGGCCTATCTATTGCAGTTTTTTGCCCTTTTAAAATAATTTAATGTTGTTTTATAAAATTATTTACTATTTTATTATGTATTTCTCATGTTCATTTGTAACTTTAAAATTAAGTTCTTTGATTTTGTACTTGGATGAATTAAACTATTGATCTTTTATCTTTTCCATGGGTAATTTGGAGTATTTATTATGTGAAATGATTATAAATTGTATTTTTATTACATAATTAGTATGTTTTTTTTAACGGTACTATTGGCCTACCAAACTAATATGAACCGAATATTAGGTTAATTGATCAGAACGATTAAAGTTCATAATATTCGGTTAACGGAAGAGAAATTGGCCAACTGAAAATTTTGATATGATTAACGGAAGAATCCTCTAATATTCCAAACCGACCCGTTCCCAAACCTACTATTGATAAGAAATCAGTCAAAACAAAATAAAAATGTTGGCTTTTCTAAATAGTCATTCTACACTTCTCCAAGTGCAAATTTTCCCTTATATATGGAGGATTGGATAATAAAAGCAAAACACACATAGAATTGGAATAAAATGACTCATGAAAGTTGAGCTCAACGCAATAAACGGCCAGACAAAACAACATTCACACTTAAATTTGTGTAATTAGCTCAGATGGTAAGAAAATGTTGAAAAATAGATTATTATTCAACCCTTGAATCTCATAACGCGGGACCCAAGGCCCAACTGAAAAAACGAAACTATGGCCCAACCCAATATGCGCTGGATGTTTCATTCGTCTTCTACTGTTTGACTTTTGAAAAACTACTAACGTCACTCTGCGGTGCAAAAAGAATCACATACTCTCTCCTCCTTCACCTGACACGTACCCCACCGTTGCCCTGGCCACGTCACTGAGCACACATTCCCCACATGCACTGCTCCGTAACTTTATCGTGTTCCCTTACCATCTGCGGGCCACTCCGACACACCCATTTGGAATTTGAAATGAAGACCCTCTCCAAAGAGACGTTACAAACTTATAACTTTGTCTTTGTTTTTTATTTTTTTGAAAACAGATTTTATTATTAATCATTATTTTAAAAAACACAAAAGTCCCATTCTATCCCCCATTTATTGCTTTGAACTACACGGGGCCTCTCTCTCTAATGCTGTTGAGACAGTGAGAGTGAGCTTCTGAATGAAGACTCTGACCTCAGAGAAATTAAAAGATTTCCCATTTAATTGTGTTCCTTCCCATCTCTGCTGAATCTTTCATTGCTGGCTTCACTTTGTTTGTTCCCCACCACCATCTCCAGGAACACAGAGACAGAGAGGCTTTGCTTAGCTGATCCTGCCCATTGTTTTATTGTAAGTTTTTACTTTGAATTTCAGTGTAAAGTTGGAATCTTTGTTTTTGGTTTCTGGGTTTGTGATTTGGGTTTAGATTTGTTTTGATGTTTTGTTTTGCATCTTGTCTTCGGGGAGTGATTGGTTGCTGGGAATTTGTGGGGAATGGGTGGATTGGTTTCTGTACAATACTACATTTATGTAATTTGCTTTAATGATTTGGTTGTTGGAACATGGAAGCCTACTGCACTGAATGTTGACTTCTTATTTTTATTTTAGGTGCATAAAGTTCTTTTTTTTCCCCTTAGTTGGGTGCATAGAGATGCAAAAGCTTCTTTTCATTTGTTTTCACTTTTGTTTTCTCAGCAGCCAAATAATGGGGCAGCGCTTCACTTCGTGCCTAAATTAGGCACCAGTGGATTTTGGGTGTTTGATAATCTAAATTGGGTTGTGAAATTTATTGGTCCTATTTGATTTAGAAATTTAGATGCTTGAAGTGTATATGATAGAGGGAAAATGCAAGTTGTATGTCTTAAGTGAAGCAGACAGGTCAGAGATTGCAGCCTTGATTATCTGTATGAGTAAACTGATAAAATGTAGCTAATCATGTGGAGTGCTTTTCTTGCCTTGATTCAGCTTCTTGAATATCATAGACTACGCTATGCTAGAAGATACCAAGTATGATCACAAGTGAAGAGATATTAACTATAGTTTCAGCTTTATAATTGATGTGCTTGGTGAGGTTCACACTGCCTTGATCTTGAAAGCTAGAACAATAGTTAACTGGTATCCATTACCGTAGGAATAATCTTCCCTCAAGGACATATAGAGAGATGCACAACATTTTGTTTTTGGTACTAGATGCAAATAATTTGTTTATGGATATGTTCCACTGGTTATATATTTATAAAATTATTTTGTTTTGATCAAGTTGCAGAGGTAGTTCGGTAGTGGAGCGCAAATTGTTGCTATCCATGCTTCTTTTACTTAATTGTTGAAGTATTCCTAATTTTTGCATCAGAAAAATGGGGGTTGAGAAAGAAGGTTTGAAAAGTGGAGCAGGTCATGTGGGTGGTTTCTTTCAGCTGTTTGACTGGACTGCAAAATCTCGAAAAAAATTATTCTCTAGCAAGTCAGATTTACCAGGTACAGAGTATTGTATCTGCATAAGGCATAGTGTGTTTATCTCTTATGGTCTTGTATCATTCTCCTATTTCATGGTTGGTTGTTTTGAATTTTGATTTCTTTGTTTTTCTTTTTTTAGAAAGTTCAAAACAGGGAAAGAAAAGCTATGGGAACTTGCCAATGACGCGACAGCATCTGGTGGGAATTCAGTTTTTCAGTGTTCTTGCACTGCTTATTTCTTTGGACCATTTTGATATGGTGTTTGAATCTAATACTATTTACAATTCTTGTTATATTTATAGGTAGATGAGGATGAAACTGGGGTTGCGCCAAGTGTCAAAGGTAGCAGTGATTATAGTTGTGCTTCATCGGTTACAGATGAAGAAGGATTTGGAACAAAAGCCCCTAGCGTAGTAGCCAGGCTTATGGGATTAGACTCCTTACCCACATCCAATTCTTCTGAGCCCTATTCTACCCCCTTTTTTGACACTCAATCTCTCCAAGATGCTCCTTACCACAGGAGAAACATTGACTGTTATCATGACGATCAGTTAAGGTATTCTGGAAATCTGCTAAAAAAAATGGAAGGGCCTACCCGGAATCCTTTGGAGGCAAAGCCCCAGAAGCTCAGGCCAATTGAGAGGTTCCAAACTGAAACATTGCCTCCTAGATCAGCTAAGTCTATCCCAATCACACACCATAAACTTTTGTCACCTATAAAGAATCCTGGCTTTGTTCCCACTAAGAATGCTGCTCACATAATGGAAGCTGCTGCAAAAATTATGGAGCCAGGACCTCAAGCTACTGCCAAGGCCAAAATGCCTCTAGTAGGGTGCTCTTCAGTACCCTTGAAGGTTCAGGTTCTCAAAGAAAAGGTGGAGGCTTCCCGAAAAGTGCCACTGGTTGGGTCTGCTTCAGAAACCTTGAAGGGTCGAGATTTAAAAGATAAAGTTGAAGGTGCTTATAAGATAACGAGGTCTTCTGAGGTGTCAAGAAAGCCTGTTGAGTCAAATGCTGCTAAGTATCTTAGGGGCCAGTCTTTGAATAAGAGCTGGAATGGATCTGTCGATTTGTCATTCAGGGCTTCTTCTGATACGGAAGAAACTAGAGGAAAGTCCATTTCTCTTGCAATCCAAGCAAAGGTCAATGTTCAGAAAAGAGGTCAGAATTTAAGTAGAAATAGAAGCTTGGTGGGTCAGAAAGAACAGAGTGAGGTAAGCTCAAACCAGTCCTTCAGGAGCCAACCAAATGTTCAAAAGAGTTCGCATAAGAAACCTTCTACACATAATGCTTCTGGTGCTCTTAGGCAGAACAATCAGAAACAAAATTGCCTAGTTGATAAAGAGAAATTACCTTCAAAGCCTCTGGTTTCCAACTCGCAAGGTAGAAAAGTGCTGTCCGGGGATTCTTCTTCTGGACGTCACAAAAGCTCAATTCGAAGTAGTGGAAATTCCAAAATTGGATTGAGGAAGTTGGGCTCAGAGGCAATGGATAGTGATAAAGAAGTGTCCTATTCAAATGCAAGGAATTATCCTAGGAAGAAACGATCAATAGATGGGAACTTTCAATTTAACAAAGATCGGGCTGTTGATGATATGTTGAGTGAAAAAAA